TGAGGTGGTGAGAAGTTACTTCATGCGCCGTCTGTTCGGCCGTTAGAGCCCACCTCCTCAGGGCGGCACGTGGTGTCGCTGCGGGGAGCTCCCGGACCGCCCCGGGCCTCGTCCCTCTCTTCAGCACAGGTGTGCTCCCCCTGCCCAGCGGGTGTTAGCGTTCCAGCAGCGAGACGCTCAGGGTGGCCGAACGAGGAGTGGGTTTTTCATAAGAAAATAAGCAGGTACCAAAGTCTTCTACTCCAGCACTAGCTTGTCCTGGAAACTTGAGAGGGACCGGTTTTGTTGAGTTAGTTTTTGTCTCATTCCCTTGAGAGCCGGCTGGAGGGCTGGCAGAGCTGTATTAAGGCTTTGCTTTAAACTGTGGCAAAAGCTGGTTAACCAACTGGAAAAGCGGCTCTCAAAGAGGGGGATTGGAAGGATGGTAGGTCCTAGTCTGGCGGGAAGCAGAACGCATAGTACTCCTGTGAAACAGCTTAACTAAGAAAAACCAGACTTTGCAGCATGCGTCCATCTTATAACTCTCCTGTTAAACTTAGGTTGATCAAAGATGGCTAGAAGCAATGGCTGTTTTCAGAGTGCTGGAATACCCACCTGTGACCCCATACAAGAGAATGCTTTACCAGCATGGGCTCTCAGGCAGCCACATTTAAAGAAGTTTTCTCAGTCTGTGACTGTGAGGCCAAAACTTTTGACTTCTCAGAGGTGCAGTGTATCAGAGGTGACACAAACCCCAGGTATGGCGTTCAGTTTATACATTAGGATTAGCTATTAAAACTCACTGTTAATGCTAGTGAAAGTAACTATGATTTTCTCTTTTTTTTGCTCAGTTGTAACCCTCTGCTTCTTACTGCTGTATTTTCTTAAAATTACCTCTTTAGCATCTGCTTGAACTTGTTTCTCTTCGTCTGATGTCCTTTTGTACTGGAAGTTCATTAGCGTAAAAGATTTGTTGTAGAGTGGGCTCTATAGTCTGCAGCATTTCATAATTATAAATTGCAAGTTCTATATTAGAAGTGCAGTAGAGGCTGCCAAAATATAGGATACCCAGTATTAATTGGTTATTCTATAGGAGCCCTCCAAGTCAAATGCAACTGTCCAGCTACAGCATGTTACTTAAAAGCATTTGTTTTTCGAATGAAAGTAAGAAGTGTAAGTTTGCCTTAGGACTACTCAGAATTTACAGATGTCTACTATGACTTGAATAACTTGCTTCACATTGACCTCTGAAGATTATAAGGGTTCTATGCAAGGACATGAAATGGCTACCCACCTGCTACCCTGATTCCAAGTGTGGTTAATGGTGGAGGAGATCCGCAGGGTCAGGGTGGATGTGCAGTGCAGCTCTACCCATGTTCCCTCCTACCCACGAGAGCCAGACGTGCTGTCTCTGTATTCAGCACCTCTTTGTAGATGGGTTTGTTTTTCTTTGAATCAGTTACCTGCTTTTTGACTCACCTGTGCAGTTGCTAAAACTTTTATAGCATTTTATGGAAGGGGGTTCCACTGTTTTGTGTGAAAAAGCACATGTTCCACTGTTTGGAATCTGCCATCAGCAACTTTCATTTGACCTCTGGTTTGCAAGGGAGGGGAGAGAGGAATATACGTTACATTTTACATGTAATTCCTATATTCAGAAGTTAATGGACTTAATACAGTAAAAGCTTTAGTGTTTTTAAAAGTGGAGGTGCAAACAGTTTCAGATTTGCTAGTATTGATAATGTAGGATTCGGTACAAAGCAAGCTGCGTTTTTGCTTTTTTTCTTCTAGGAAGCATCTAAAAAGCATTTATTGTGAACGGATTTAAAGTGTCACAGAGTATGGTCAGTTCTTGTCTTAATTTTGTTTCAGAACCCTTACTTTTGAACGCACCCACGTTATCAGCACTTCCCTCAAAGAAATACTTAGAGGGATTTATTGCAAGATATAAACAGGGAGCAATAAACCCACTGTCTGCCTTGCATCAGTTTGCACAAATGCTCCATGTACAGCTTGAATTGAAAGAAACTGGTGTTGCAGGTAAATACTTCTGCTTTTCTTAAGTAGAATAATCTTTGTTTATTCTTGAGATGATCTAAATTTCTGCAGTTAGCATTGATGGCACTAATACAGGTAGGAGTTTTTCTCACTGTTGATTGCACTGCCCTCTGCATGCATTGCGTTTCGGCTGCCCTTTTATTGTTTACACAGCTGTGTGTCAAAAATTACTACAGAATTTGATTGGATGAATTGTACAAAATTTTGGTTGCTACTAGAACTTTGTAAAAAGTATATCAAGTGAAAGCTGCTGAAACTCTTATGGATGCAAAAAGTTTGAGTTGCATTTTACTAAAACTGTCTTTTTCTCTTGTACTTGTCCTTGGAATGAATATAAGCACATAAAGCTATGGATGAAAGTATCTTTACTAATTGTGCCTGTTTGTTTTTTTTTCTCCTTTAAAGGCAATATCATAAGGCCTTATTTTGCCTTTTGTGCTGTGTTAGATGGTATTTACTACAAGACTGGACTGGGAAAAAACAAGAAGGAGTCTAAATTAAATGCAGCAAAACTAGCTCTTGATGAGCTACTTGACGTGGAGTATACAGGGACAAAGGCTTTTGAAAAGTCGGGTAAATATTCTGTCAATAACAAACTAGAACTTGGAAGGCTTTACTTAAAGGTTTCCTTTGCAAAATTGCTGTAGTTTTATTAAATGCTTCTGATTCAGGACTTCTCAGTTTTCCTGAATCCTTTGGGCAGGGCTGTTATATGGTTCTGAAACTTCTTTTCCTTTGTGTTTTGTGTACTAGAAATGGTGTCAGTTTGTATCACAGAGCAGAGAATACTGAACGAATCAATTTATTTGTTGCTGTTGCACTTGATTTGGTTCTCGCTAGGTAACAACAGCATAAAGCTGATTCTAAGTGGTTTTGAATTTTGATGATTAAAAGTCTTCAACGCTGGTAACTGAATTATTTTGAAAGCAGTAACTCATAACGCTTGTCGTCTTTTAAGGGTTGCTGCCTGAATAGTTCTATGGTTAAAGGACTTCAAAATCAGAAAATTGTCTTAAAGAGTTAGAAACTTTAACTTGCTGGAAATAGTGCGAGTTCCCTGTTCGGAAATGTAGAGAAATGTAGAGTGTCCATCCCAGTTTGAAATTTCGTTAAATTCTTAGGTCCTCT